AAGCAGGGTCGGTGCCTACGGGCACTTCGATTTCAGATTAGTGGAGTTTACGATGCACTAATTGAAATCGCAGAAGACAATACATTAACTACTGCACCACAAGTCAAGAGTCGCGCAGAGGCTAAGGTAATAGCCAGAAATATTTCAAATTTCAAATTTGTTTGCTCCTTGGTATTGTCAGCAAAATGCTCCAATCACAGGCTTTAGACTTGTCGCTTGCTCTAGAGCATTTAAACGCTATTAAATCTTTCCTATGCGATTATCGCTGTGATGAAGAATTTGCCGCAATGGTTGAAAATGCAAAAAAATTGGCAGTTGAACTAGAAATTTTTGAAGGATTTGATGTGGATGATCCCGTACGCGTACGCAGAAAGAGTAGACAATTCCTATACGAAGGTCGTGATGAACCGATAGTATCACCAGAACAAAACTTCAGAGTATCTTTTTTCAATCGAATATTGGACATCGCAATTCAAGCAATAAATGAAAGATTTACGCAATTATCGGAATATAACGAGTTATTTGGGTTTCTTTACAATATCGGCAGCAAACCCTTAACGGATGATGAGTTATTGAAACACTGTAAGGACTTGCATTTAGCGCTTATGTCTGATGGCCAATCTGATATCAACGGGGTCGAACTTTGGTATGAAATTAAAGCTATTGGGAGACGACTTGATATTTCCAATAGCGATCCAAAAAGTGTATTAAAATGTATTTACACATCTAATGTTGTCGAAATATTCCCAAACCTTTCGATAGCTCTTCGCATACTACTAACGTTACCAGTCACAGTTGCTAGTGCTGAAAGAAGCTTTTCAAAGCTGAAAATAATAAGGCCCTATTTGAGATCACAAATGTGTCAAGATCGTTTAGTTGGTCTAGCTACGATTTCCATCGAGAAAGAAATTGCTGATCATTTGGACATAGAAGATTTGGTTAAAGATTTCGCAGAATTAAAAGCTAGGAAAATTCACTTTTAATTACGATTTGTTTTTTATTTTTTCATGAATGGAATTTGTTTTGTTTTTTATTTTTGTATAAATTGAGTTTTTTTATTTTCTATATTAAAGTTTGATTTTCAGTGTTTTTCTATTTTCCTTCAAATTGGAAATTATTGCATTTTTAATTTTTGCGTCGGCAAATTTGCATCTCGCCTACACATAGAAAACTGTTAAAACCGGGCCTGTATATACATATATATATATATATATATATATATATATATATATATATATATATATATATATTATATATATATATATATATATATATATATATATATATATATATATATATATATATATATATATATATATATATATATATATATATATATATGTATATATTTATATATATATATATATATATAAATTTACACAGTTAGTCGGCAAATGTCGTCATGGCAGTCGGCAAATTTTCGAAAACGAGGAACTTTTTTTTTTTTTTATATTTATATTTTAGTCGGCAAAAGTTGTAAATGGCAACCCCCCTCACCTGACACCTACTCTCGCCGGCCCTGTATATATATAATATATATATATATATATATATATATATATATATATATATATATATATATATATATATATATATATATATATATATATATATATATATATATATATATATATGATGGACCATATATGATTTGTTTATAGAATCATTTATATATGGAGGACATAAGCTTTCTCTCTATCAAAGTATTTTTGTTAGTTTACGCTTGTTGTATGGAGATTTGCCATGGAGATTTTGTGAAGCCACGATAATACCTCTAGTAAAATCTAAAATTGGAGACTTAAAAGATGTAAATAAATACAGAGCAATTTCAATCTAACCTCTAAAATACTTCGACATATTTTATTAAAAAAAGTATTGAATCTCATGAGAATATCTTGTACTCATTATTTAAAAAAGACAGTTAAATACTATATTTATAGAGGAATCCATGTAGTCACATGTTTTATAGATATCATTAAAGTTTTTGATAGCGTTAATTAATGGAAACTGTTTTCTAACTTAATTGATCAGTGTATTGCCAAGAATGCTGTCTGTCTACTTGCATCTTGGTACAAGAATCAAACTATGTTTGTCATATGGCAGAAAGTAAACTCTGATAGCTTTAACATAAACAATGATGTAAGGCAAGGTGTAATTCTTTCACCGTTCTAGTTTATATTTTATATAAGAACACTGATTTTCAATATTACAAATATACATATTGGATTTAACATAGGTTGAACTTGTTTTGAATCTTTTGGCATATGCTAACGATATTGTACTAATTTCTTCTTTTTGGTTTGCATTGGAAAAATTATTAAGTGCATTAAATGTTAAAGCCATTGCCATTAACATGTCATTTAATACAAAAAAAAATCGGTGCGTATGGTCTTCAACCCAAAACAGAGAAGTAAGATTGTATCAAGCAATTTTCTACTCTTTACGTTTGCTGGATGTAAATTAGTTTTCATTGTCAAATTCAAGTATCTGGGTCACAAAATAGAAAATGGTTTGTTTGATAATGCTGATATAAATTTAGCTGATATAAATAAAACGTCACACGTACAAACATCAGACAATTCAAGAAATGCTTGAGAGCTAGACTCTTGTTACAAGAAATGTGCTAAATGTTTTTTAAATATGATAAGTACTCAAGCGCTACAAATATGTTTATAGTACTAGGTTAGCCTAATCAAGATACTTTATTGCATAAATACAGACTTAGCTTTATAAATCAGTTAGTTACCTGTATCGCCATAACAAACAATAATTAAAATAAAATGACAATATTTGACAATATTTAAAATAAAATATAAACTAAATTGAAGTACAACAAAAGCAAAGTGTTTTATGCTGAGATACCAATGTGCCACGACTGAAAAATCAAATGCACATAAAAATCAAATGCACATATATCAGCTTTGGGAGTTAGAGTCTAGGGAGTTAGCTTTGGAGTGTGCGACACCCTTTACATCCCTTCTTCCTTCAGGACAGTTCTGTTTGTCATATATGTTTATAATTGTTATATGTGTTTATATGCGTAATGCAAGATTGTATTTATTATAAGGTTATATGTATTTATAGCTTTGTATATATATTTCCACTAAATTGTTTCCATGTTTTCAAATTGGTTAAACTTAGCAACTTGGTTGTTAGGCTTGCCAGTCTAGCTGTGTACTTTCAAATGTCTTTTGATATATGTCCTATTTTTGTGTGTTATTGTTGTGATGTTATTTTTGTGATTAGTGTTGATTAGCTTGGCTTACCTTCCTATCTATGACTATCGATAAAAATAAATAACAGGTACTTTTATTACAGAGACTTACTCCTTTAAATCGTTCAATAAAAGCCAAAACAACATTTTGCTATAAATCCAATTTATGTCTTAATTTAATTTTATCTTGAGTATTTTTATTGCTTTCGATCTTTGAAACAGGTTTCTTAATTATCTTTTCAATAAATAGAATTTACTTCAATATCACAAAAAGTTACCATAAATAAAGCAGGTAAATTGATTTCCAATTTTTAAATGTGATGTTTTTTTTTTTTTTCATATATTCTATCATAGTTCCATTATTTTTTTTATTTCATATTTATTATGTATAAAAGTAAAGTTGACAATTGTTATGTTTTTTTTTTAATTAGTATATTTTTGTTTTTCGTTAAAAAGATTATTTATTAGATTAGAGTATTTCGTTTATATTATTTATTAATTTTCATGAAGATATATAATTTATTCATTTTATTTGATATTTTTGAAGATATATAATTTATTTATTTTATTTGATATTTTTGAAGATATATAATTTATTCATTTTATTTTATATTTCTATATTTTATGCATAATAATTTTAATGGTTTAACTTAAGTTTTAAATTAATTATCTGTTTTACCATTTAATAAAACCTATTGAAATTAAATTTAAATAACAAGTATATTAATGGTTGGTTTGGAACAGACCATAACTATTATTTTAGATCAATGATATTTTGAACATTTTTTAGATTATATAATCAAATGACATATTTTAAAGATTAAGGTGTACAAAATTTACTATTGTTGTATTTTGATAATTTGTATAAAAATATTTTTTTTTTCAAATGTATAAAAATATTTGTTTTTTCAAAAAATAAATATACTTATGTAATTAAATGCTTTTGTTTTGCATTTTATTATTTTGGTAAAAACTCTTGAATTAAATCTTGATTAATTTTAATAAAAATAACTCTTCTAACCGGTCGATTACACATTTGGGGAGGGAGATGGATCTTTATTAAAAACTTTAATTTTTAAAAAACAATTATTTTCAACCGTTTACAAACAAATTATAGAAGTGAAGTGATATTATAAAGAATAAATATAAATTGATAGGGGCGAAACAGACATAACTTGACCTGTTTTATGGTTTCAGACAGCTATTTTTTTTAATATTTTAAAAATAATATCGGCAACTGCTGTTTTTAAATTGATATAAAATGCATACCAGATATGAACCGCATGACTCGAAAAATTTCTTTTGTTCTTATGCAAAGGCGAGTAAAATGTTCAAATCTACAAAAACCATCCTTAAGTAAGTAAGTAGTCTCCAACTGCGCTGGAGAGAGAAAATGAATTTCAAATTTTTCTCAACAAAAAAAATACTTTCATTTAAGTATGTAACTAAAACACCGAATTTCTTTTAAACCTAAAATTAACCATTTTTTTCGACCACTAATGAAAACCAGAAATACACTACTAATAAAACTTCATGAACAATTAGCGATAAAACAATCAAGGGTGGATAGTAGAAATCGTTAAAGAGGACGGGTAGAAATCGTGTTATTACAACTTCTTTTGCGTATACAATTGACTCTCGATATCTCGACAAATCGAACCTTATTTCCGGTCCCTTGTGCACTCGCTTGAGCCAAAACTGAGATATCGAGCGTCCACTGTATTTGTTATAGACAACTGAAAAAAAAAAAAAAAAAAAAAAAAAAAAAAAAAAAAAAAGTGAAATATTCGTTTACTAAAAATTTTGATGTAAAAATTTTAACAAGAACAATTAAAAACCTCATTTACATTTCAAAACAAAAATGATAAAAACAATAAATTATCAAGTATAAACTATTAATGATATAAGCGTAGTTTTAAAGAATACATCTTAATCACGTTAATCACAATATTACTTTTATATCATTCGATGTTAACGCGAGCCTGTATGTATTTTTCATTTAAAAGTGCTAGAAAATTGTTACTTCTTTCTGACAGTTTAAATAAAAAACTTTTTTTTTTTATTAAAACTCATCATGCAAAATTTTGACATAATCATTAAAGCTGCTACCAGTAAAAAGTTGGTACTTAAGTAACATTTCGTCTTCTGAAAGTTTTCCGTCTTTATCTTGATCCGCAATATTTATTAAATACTTAGCTTCCTTGGAAGCGTGTTGAAAATGACGAGGATCTAAGTAAATACAAAATTCTTCCTTCGTTACAAAACCATCGCCATCTGCATCCATGTCTCTCTCAAATTCTTCCTTTCTTCTAAAAATAGAAATTTAAAAATCATTCATTAGGAGACGAGCACACTGGGCCTGGGCACATTAGGAGACGAGCACACTGGGCCTGGGCACATTAGGAGACAAGCATACTGGGCCTAAACAGCTCATCTTGAAACAAAACTGAAATTAATATTAGCAACATATGCATTAAAGTTAGTGCACGTGCAGTAACATGAGGTCTTTTCTACTAAAAAGAGTAATACTGTGTGCTTTTTTGTTGCTATAGTACCTACTTTGCACGGCGAGGAGGTTTTTATACTTTTATACAAAGTTCAAAACTTATATCGTTTATAATCTTAGGTGCTTAATAAACGGAATAATGGATTTTGCCATCATAAAGGTACGATCTACATTCAATATGTTAAAGTGTACTATGCAATGATTTTTATTTAGATATTTATAGACTTGTTATACTTTTGTTTTGTTAAACTTTTTAATAACAATAATGAATAATTAATTGATTTAAAAATTTCTTGCTTTTCTGATAAGAGGGTCAGAACAGTAGCATGTCTAGCCTATTGTATGTTAGTTCAATAATAGGTGGATAATTTAGTAAGACAAGGTGTATATTTGTTTTTAATAGCATGTCTTCGTTTGAGAAGGTGTGTCAAAGGTGGGTCCAAGCATGAACAGCATGGAGAGTTTTGGATCTTTACTAATGTTAATTAATTTTTTAAAACAATGTTGATTTTTTTATTTATTCTATGTATACTACGAATTATTTTTCTTCTATGTGAATACTTCAAATTATCATTCTTCCATGTGAATACTGCGAATACAAGAATGAATTAGTGTTGTAAGTGGTCAAAAGAAAGAAATATTTATTTTATACACCATTTTCTGTTTCTCACTTAATGAAGAATTCACTTTGGTCACAAAAATTTGGTGCAATATTTGAACATACAAAACTTTTTTAATTACCCAGCCTCACTTTCGTTAATTTGTTTATAAAATGTTAAATGCCTTTCTTTAAAGGTTTTGCCTAGTTCTGGTTACAAAAAAATAATTGCAAAATGAAACTGACAACTTTAACAAAAAAAGTGTACAACTATTGTAATATGCATCTTAACCTCCCAATAATGTTTTGAAATAAAATAGAAGAACAATAGGCCAACATCTCGTGAGGATTAGGAAGAAATCCAAAAATTATGACCACTAGAAACATCAAATGTCTGAAAAGTCTCTTGACCAACCAGTCTTAAACAAGAAATATTGCAAAGGAAATAAAGTTTAATTTAAAAAACTAAACAAGCATTTGTTATATAAATAAAAATTTCTGATCATGCTGGTAAACAGAGAAGTTAAAAGTGATGGGTGGAATCATGTCACAAATTCAGAAACCATGAATTTATCATTAATGATGAGTTGAATTTTACATATAAACAAATAAGAATTTATAAAACTGATTTTTTCTTAGATGAACCTAAAAACTCACTAGAAAAATATAAAATATAATATAAAAAACAAATTTGGAAAATTAATTTATTTGCAATGCAACTCTAAACTCCGAAACATGAAAAAATTGTCTACAAAAATATTTTATCTTGTTTTAAAAAAGTTAACAAAAATTATGAGCTATGTATGTGCAAACTTGTATACAGTAAAGTTAGTGCAGTACATCTGGAAAGAATGGAGAGAAGACATTATCTTAGCTCCGAAATTAAAAAATAAAAATATTGCCTACTGTTCTGTACTAATTTTTTTTTTTTTTTATTTAAACTTACTTTGTACTATTACTATTACGTTGTATTATTACTGGTGTTAACTTAGCACCAAATTTTGACACCAGGGGGCTAAGATTAGCATAGTACTTTAAGAGATGTAGTAGGAATTGAAAAGAAAAAAAAATAAGGATAATATATCTGAAAAATTATTTAGAGAACTCGTTCAGATACTAAACTATTTTATGCAATAATTGCCTCACAAAAATAAACTAAAGTTGAAAAATTTATTTAACTTAAATTAAAAACTTAATTAAAAGGTAAGAAAAATTTGATAAAAAAATTCACTGAAAAACGAACGTATTCACAAAGAAGCTTAGAAAAGTATATAAACAAGCGTTACATATGTTTTTAAAAACTGTGAAATTAAGATTTGAAAGTGAGTAATACTTATATAAACAAACTAAGAAAAAAGGTTAAAACTTACTCCTTTTGGTACTGTTTATCTAACTCTGCTTCTTCAGGATCAACAATGCCACCTGGTAAACGTGTAAATTCTTCTACAGAAATTTTCTGGTGTAAAAATAAAAAATAAAAAATTATAAAGATCGTTAAAGAAAAATTATTCTAGTGATCAACTTATAAAGATTGTTGTAAAAAAATTATTTTAGTAAATTTAATAGAGAGAAGAGTCAGGCATCATGATGCACCTTTGGTTTTTGCATTGTAATAATTTTTTTAAACACTTTTTTTTTTTAAGGGGATTGGTTTAACTTGTAGAATAAATTCATACCAACAATATTTATTTACTATCAAAACAGGTTAAACTTTAGAGACTATTCAAAGTAAAAGTACCAAAATACCCCATCCATGGTACCCTGACCCTAACCCTAAACCTAACCCTGAAGGTACCCCATCCAAGGTATACCTTGATACAAACTATGAGCATCATATATATATATACATATATATATATATATATATATATATATATATATATATATATATATATATATATATATATATATATATATATATATATATATATATATATATATGTATATATATATATATATATATATATATATATATATATATATATATATATATATATATATATATATATATATATATATGTATATATATATATATATATATATATATATATATATATATATATATATAAATTTTGTTTTTATATTTGTAGACTTTCCTTGATTTGCTGGGTTTCTTAATTACTACCTGAGCAGAATGCTTGTTAATAATTTCAACTATAATTATTCCCGGCTTTTAACTTTTAGAATTAAAACGTTGATGAGGCATAATTTTCTCAGTATCAAGCTTTAGTGCAGCTAAGAGCATTTTTATCTTTGTTTATTTTTTTATTCATTAATGCCATATATTATTAAATTTTCTTCTCTCTTTGTTTTTTCTGAGGAGTTTATAGAGAAAGCATTTAGAATACTAGCCTCTTGGTCATTTATCTTAGCTTTTTATTAATTATTTTTTAATTAATTTTATTATTATTATTGCAGTAAAAAGACTGCTAAACAAAACTTTATAACTTTGGCTAATCTTTATTTATATTATATCTAATATTTATATTTATTTATTTTCTAGTTCAGCAACACGCTTTTCTAGAAGTTCATTTTGCTTTAGTAAATCATGTATTAAGATGTTAGGTGTTAAAAATTTCTTGTTTCAAAGTTCTTTATAATGGTTAAAGTCACAAATTTGAACATTAAATATTAAGCTATTATTAAATTTTTGTATAATATATTTGTATAATACAAATTTAAGTATAACAGTTTATAACCATGGGACCAACTTCCCTGCCAGGAAAATTAAAATCACCTTAATATATCACCTGACATGTTATCTTGCAACTTTAAATTCATTTTCAATATCTGTAAAATCATTAAGTCTATAATAAGTCAAAAGTAATATAAATAAAGTCTAAAAAAAGTCTAAAATACTATAAACACATCCAATAAGATATTTATCACTACCAAACTGGATAACAGCTCAGACATCTACAGCTGCATTTGACTCAATGTAAAAGCGTTATTGTTATTTTAAATTATTTTTTTTAGTTATGCGTTCTTATTATTTATCTGGAGATATGTATTTATTTTTAAAACTTGGAAGCAATTTCAATTTTTTTTTTGATGAAAAAAGTATTTTATATTGTAGATTAGAATCAGATAAGTAAATAACAATGGACCTGGTTTGTTAGAAAATTTACTTCCTAATTTTTTCACATTCTTAAAATGTTGTCCTGAAATCCAATTCATGTGAATTGATTACACTATCTAGTTGATTACACTATCTAGTTGATTACACTATCTAGTTGATTACACTATCTAGTTGATTACACTATCTAGTTAATTGCATTATCTAGTTGATTACACTATCTAGTTGATTACACTATCTAGTTGATTACACTATCTAGTTGATTACACTATCTAGTTGATTACACTATCTAGTTGATTACACTATCTAGTTGATTACACTATCTAGTTGATTACACTATCTAGTAGAAATCTTTTTCCAGCACTTTTGCTACATTTATAGCTTTTTTTATCTAAAGAAACTTCTACATTAAATACTTTTGCAAGCGCACTTACTTTTTTTTTTGTTCTGTTTATGTTGCTAATACGATCAGATAGTGATAAAACTGTTAAATTTTTATAAATTTTTTTTTCATTAATATCTATCTCAAAGGAAGCAAAATCAAATAAAAAATTTTCTAAATTAAATTTTAAAAATTATTTTATTTACAGATGAATATTTTAAATTTTATGGCATAAAAGCAACACTTTTTTAACATATAATAATAATTTTTTTTTTAAGGCTTTTTTACAATAAAATTTTTTTGGAAATGTCTCTTTAAAATGTAAATGTTATTTTTGACATATTTATGTAATTTCCCTTTTTTTGAGACCAAACATGACATAATTTTCATAGAATTTTTTTTGATCAAAAAAACTGAGCAACCTCTAAAAATTACTTTCTTCAAAAATTATTTAAACCCAGTATTATTTTATTATATAGCACATTTAAGGTGCCAGCAGATAATAAAAAAAGATGTTTTTAGGGCCGCCCTATATAGATACATACATATTTACATATATATATATACATATATATATATACATACATACATCAGGCTTCGTCGGAAAGCGGGTGCGATTGCACTCGATAATTGACCAGATTTTTTAGTCGTTATGAGAACATTTCAAAAACAAACAAAAAAGCGCAATAAGACTGGACCGATGAGAGACAGTTAAAAAAAGAAAAATAGCTTTTAAGGCGAAAAAAATTTAAGCAAAATAAATACGATTAGAGCAAATATTTTTGAAACGTCGCACTTTTATAATTTTTTTTATAAAACTGAGCAACATTTTATATATAAAGTAGCAACTTACAATTAATGATTGCTTATTAAGGAAACAAATGTTATTCAATTTATCAAAGAATATATATAACTTTTATTTATATACTTGTGTCTTTTTTCCATGAGGTGGGGGGATGGGGTAGAAGCGCTATAGCCTCGGGACTCACAATGTTAGGAGCTGCAAAATAGTCAAGAGGACCATTCGGTATTTTTTAAAGTCATTTTTACACTGTGGCACATAAAAAAGGCCACCAAAATAATGCGGCCCTAAAAAGTCCAACAAGATTCAAGCAATAAAACTAACGCTAGATGATTTATTTATAAATAAAAAAGTTTTTTCAATAACAATTTTATGCTTTGTGTAGTTTGAAAAGTTTAACACATTTGAAACAATTCTTCTTAGTAAGATGAACAAATGAAATAATTAAATCATTGAGTTGAGCAGAAATTCAATTAGCTAGATAGAAATTAACTAAAAACATTAAATTACTTTGTGATGAGGAAGCGAAACTGCTTCACAATAACACTGATGATGTTTAGTGAATAAAAACAAAAACGCTGATGATGTTTAGTGGCTTTATAATTTTAATTAGTATTTAAAACAGAAAAAGTAACTTTCAGTTAAAGTAAAAGTAACTTTAAGTATAACAAGTTAGTAAGAATGGCTGAAGCAAAAATAATTGAAGTTAGTAAACCAATTTCTAAGAACTTAAAAACTTTTCTTTCTTGGGGGAAAGATTCAGTTATCGGGTACACTGAGGAAAATGGATTAGTGGCTAAAGTTATTTATATTAACTTTGATGATTATTAATAATTTCATAGAAAACACTTATTATTGAAAGTATTTTTGTTTACAAAATCAATCACACATATTGCTTTAAAAGATTATATTTGAATAAAATACACATACATAAAAAAATTACATACATAAAAAAATTACATACATAAAAAAATTACATACATAAAAAAATTACATACATAAAAAATACATACATAAAATTATAATAATAGTTTGTTTGATATTCGTTCGTTTGAGATTTGATATTCTTTAAACAATTTATGCTAGAAATCTTAACAAAAACATAACAAAACTTAAATAACACAATTTTAAAAAAAAAAAAACAGAATACTCAAAAACATTCGGTTAGTATTTTTTGAATACTCTAGAAATTTCGGTTAGTCAAAAATAGTTATGATTTTTTGTTAAAAATACCTTGAAAAAAAATTACGACCAAAAACCATGAAAAATTAACTTTTTTTAATTTTTTGCTAAAAAATAAAATAAAAAGTAATTTTTTGCAATAAAACATATAATAATAGGTATTATGTAAAGGTTTCAGAAATTTTTTTATAAAATTTCGCTTCTTCTGAGACCCAACATGACATACATTTAAAAAAATTTTGTTTTCTTCTGTTTAGGGTCTCGTCGCAAGTTTCAGATTTGAGGTGGCTCACCTAAATCTCATTCAATTTTGAAATAATTTAACAGAGTGTCTTGTGAGTACCAATAGAAAGTTTTAAGAATAAGGACAGATCAATTCTTGAAAGTATGGGACGTTCGATGCACCCTAGTATTCATCTAGTTTCACTTATTTTCCTTTTATTTTTTTTTTAAATAATTTTTTCACTTAAAAGTCCTTAAAATATACCACTAAATTAACTTTTTAACGGTAAACGATAAATAAAATATTACACCATTAACAACCAATACGGCGATGGTTCGCAAAAAAGTTAACATTTTACCAGTTCGCAGTTTGTTACCTTCAAGGAATAGCGCATAACTTGACATTTTGATGAACAATGAAGTATTTTATATAAATATTTAAAATAAATACAGAAATAAATATAACTACATATTGATAATTTTTAAGTAAAAAATTTTTTTTTTTTTTTTGAGGGATATTTTCCAAGGGGATTTTTTCTCAGGAGGATTTTCTCTTGGGGGAATATTTTGGAGAGATTTTGTCCCGGGTGATTTTTTCCTAGAAGCTATTTTTTTAAGCAATAGAATTAGTTGTTTGTAGATTTGGCAGGTTTTTTGTGTTCGCAAATATTCTTTTTTTATATTTCTGCACAAAGATGTTTTTTTATTTTGTCATTGACTTTATCTTTATATTATTAGGATTGATTTATGTTGTTTTTGTATTTTGACTTTAAATATAACTACTTTACTGAC